GTCGGGGGAGAGGTCCTACCTCAAGTGGAGGAGTTTAAGTATCTCGGGGTCTTGTTCACGAGTGAGGGTAGGAGGGATCGGGAGATCGACAGGCGGATTGGTTCGGCGTCTGCAGTGATGCGGACGCTGAGCCGATCTGTCGTGGGGAAGAGGGAGCTGAGCCAGAAAGCCAGGCTCTCGATTTACCGGTCGATCTACGTCCCAATCCTCACCTATGGTCATGAGCTTTGGGAAAGAACGAGATCGCGGATACAAGCGGCCGAAATGAGTTTCCTCCGTAGGGTGGCCGGGCTCAGCCTTAGAGATAGGTTGAGGAGCTCGGACATTCGGGAGGGACTCGGAGTAGAACCGCTGCTCCTCCGGATCGAAAGGAGCCAGTTGAGGTGGTTTGGGCATCTGGTCAGGATGCCTCCTGGACGCCTCCCCGGGGAGGTGTTTCGGGCATGTCCTGCCGGCAGAAGGCCCCCGGGTCGACCCAGGACACGTTGGAGAGGTTACATCTCCAATCTGGTCCGGGAACGCCTTGGGGTCCTGCCGGAGGAGCTGGTGGACAAGGCCGGGGAGAGGACGGCCTGGAGCTCCCTAGTTGGGATGCTGCCCCCGCGACCCAGACCCGGATAAGCGGAGGAAGACGAAGACGAAGATTTAACATTGAGCTTTACATGATTATTTGGACGAACACAGGTATTTGATTATTATTTAATAGAAGAGGGTACTTGGCCTTCTTTCTTCTCTTGAGCTATGGGGGGAGGCAAATAGCTAGTTAAAACTGTTTAGATGCAGAGGCATCAGAAGGCCTTGAGCAAAATCTCAAGGAGATAAGTTCTTCCCGAGGAGAAAGGAAAACAGTCCCTTCATGATGCTACACCAGGAAAAGCAAAATCAACAGAAAGAGTTGAACAAAGATAACTCGGGTGTTTGCAAACCATCAAAATGAAGTGCCGTCCGCCTCGGGGCGGGCATCTAACCCATGAGAACCCACCCATTTGGCTCTATTTGATTAGTTAAAAAACATCATGCTTCCATTTGATTGACAGGATGCGTTATGTGTCACAAACATTTGAGCTGACCATTCAAAGCAAAATGTATCTGTTCTTTGCGATATGCATATTGTGCATGCTAATATCACGATAACGATATATTTAGGATATATTGTGCAGCCCTAATTCAAGTCAAAGTCAGGTCAGGCAGTATTTACATTAGGATGCATCAAATAATCAGAAAAGGAATATAGCCAGAAAACAATCATAAGCATAGGAATGTGGGTGACCACGGCATTTCTGCCTCACCTCTGTCAGACCGCTCCAGGGCAGCTGTGGCTACATGGTAGCTTGCCATCACCAGCAGTATGTGAATTTGAGTGCGTGAATAATAGAAGCGCTTTGACTACCTAGAAAAAAAAAAAATATATATATATATATATATATATATATATATATATATATTATTGTTAAAAATATGAGTGAAGGACCTCTTTAAATGCTAAATAAGTATGTGTGTTTCCTCTATAGCTGTCATGTAATCTGAGATATGTTTGCTTGTTTGCTTGAACTGTACTTTAGTAAAACACTACAAATCAGAAAAGGCATCTACTGGCGTCGCAGCAGAACCTCTTCTCTCTCATGTAGCTGCTACTTACCACATGGCCAGATTTATGCTCCTTCTTTCTGGAAGAATGATGCAAAACTCACAGACAACTGCTTCTCCTTGTCTGGCCCGATGATGTAAATGTGGTGAGACGAGCCGTTGGGAGTCCACTACGTGTTTTCACACAAAAGACAAAGAGAGTTACTATTTCCGCCTGTCAAAAATACCGTAAGAGCTTTCTTGGCATGAAATGTGTTTTTAAATTTACAGGAATCATATGTAAACTCCACGGCACATATCTAAGATCAGAAAATAACTTTTATTCTCTCATAGACTTCTATTCATTGATATGGGCAGGAGGAGACCCATGGTCCGGAGGTAAATGGGAGTAACTTAGGCTGCCGATTTATAGTAACACCGTTAAGACATGCTGATTTGCATGTGAAACATCGAAGGTGCTGGTTTTTGGAACGCTGCATTAGGGCAACCCAAGCTGCCAACATTCAACAACAACTAGATAAATGAGGTTTACTATTCTAGGGCTGCTTTAGGTTACTTCTGTTCCTTCTTCAACAATTTCCACATCAGAAGTAAAGGACCTGCTGTCATCTGCTGAGCTGATTGGCTGAAGAAGTCCTCAGTTTTGCCAGGAAACATTCAATTTAACATTTTGGTTGGGAATGTCGTCAGTTAGGATTAAAAAACCTGCAGTTTTCTGAAGGATGAGGAGCATGTTGGGAGTAAAGATCTTGTCCTAACAGAGTGATGTCCATCAGCAATCAGCATTAAACATAAACTACTAACACTAATAACGCTGTGCGAGCTTTTCTTAATCTTGTCACACAAAATCGTGTAACGTCATGAAATGTCCTGTTTTTGACCTAAAGGTCTGCTGCGTCTGCTCGAGTGGACACATGATGTCTCTGACACAGGCTAATCTACATGAGATAGTGGCCAAGGTCTTTCATGCCCTCTGCTCATCTGAACCGCTTCACCTCTTTACAGCTCAAGACAAGACGGAGAACTCTTTTGATAAATACATAATCACACAATGTTTGTTATTGCCAATTATAATGTGAGCCCAATGTTCAATCAATCTGTGAAATGACAGTAAATGTTATTACTTGACATTATAATTCTGTGATCAGTAGTATTTTACAAGTAATTATAATCTTGGGCAGCTGCACTAGACACGTGATGACACATAATGCTAAAGTCACACGACACATTTCCTTTTGTCTGATCCAATCAGAACCTTCGTTTCTGACGCGAGGCGTGGTCATCTGTGGTGTTTGTATAAACCCTCTTTTAGTAAGTAAGTAAGTAAAGTTTATTTATATAGCGCCTTTCACAGATATAAATCACACAGCGCTGTACAACATGATAAAGATCAGGGCAAATACCTCTAACCAATAAAAACATCAGAAAAACAATAGCAGTGATAAACGTAGAAAATTAAATCATGAGTATAAACAAAGTGAAGGTGTGAACCTGAACAAAGCCATCTTTTTGAAACATTTAGGGAGGGAAGGCCTGGATGAAAAGGTGAGTTTTTAGATGATTTTTAAAGACCTCTACAGTGTTAGAGAGACAGAGATTTGAAGGTAGACTGTTCCAAAGTCTGGGTGCAATAGTCTGAAAGGTCCTGTCCCCTTTGGTTTTCAGTCTGGTTCGAGGAACAGCCAGGAGGTTTTCAGATGTGGATCTAAGGTTCCGAGAGGTGGTGTGTGGGGATAAAAGCTCAGATAGGTAGCTTGGAGCCTGGTTGTTAAGAGCTCTATAGGTCAGGACTAAAACTTTAAACTGTATTCTATATTCTACCGGGAGCCAGTGGAGGGACTGTAAACCTGGAGTGATGTGAGCTCGTCTGCTGGATTTGGTTAGGAGTCTGGCTGCTGCATTTTGGATGGCTTGAAGGCGTGAGAGGGAGGTTTTGCTGAGACCAGTAAAAAGAGCGTTACAGTAGTCTAAGCGTGATGACACAAAGACATGGATGATTTTTTTCCAGATCTGCAGTAGAAACCAGTTTACGGACTTTTGAAATGTTTCTCAGTTGAAAGAAACAAGAGCGGGAGATGGTTTTGACGTGTGAGTCTAAACTTAAAGCTGGATCAAAAATAACTCCCAGGTTTCTAATGTTGGCCTTGGCTGATGGGCAAAAAGAGGCAATTTCCTGCTCGATTTTTGGCTGAAGTTCCGGGGGTGCAGCGATCAGGGTCTCTGTCTTGTTAGCATTTAAGACAAGAAAGTTGCTGGACAGCCAGTTACTGATCTGGGTCAAGCAGAGTACAAGTGTGGCCAGCCTGTCCAACTGGTGTGGCATAAAGGACATATAGAGTTGAATATCATCAGCGTAGATGTGGTAGGAGATGTCTGCGAAAGACTGAATGATGCCAGCTAGGGGAAGAATATAGAATGCGAATAGTAGAGGCCCTAGAACTGAACCTTGTGGGACCCCGCATGTTAGAGAGGCAGTGTCTGAAGAGAAGGTTTCGGACTTCACTGTGAATGTTCTTTTGCATGTCAAATTCTGATTCGCCAGTAAACCAAAATATGACAATTATAAAAACTATTCCACGTCACCTTTAGTTCAGTTCAAAGCGTTCTAGAGAAGTTCGGACAGGCATTCCGGACTTCCTCTTCAGCCGAAAGAACCTTCCTCGACAAGCTGGATAAAATCTGTTGCACGTTACACCTGACCGCAACGGTTCCTTCAGAATAAAAGCTTAACCTAACGACCCCTTCAGGGTCTCGGAGACGCCAATAATAACCTGTCGTGACCTGGGAGCATTCCGAGACTAGACTGGTCGGCACCGCTGCTTTTCTACCGGCTTCGGTACCAAGGAGGGTCCTAAGGACCTCGACATTCTGGATCTAACGGAGGCTTCCCCTGGGGTACGTAGACCGACAGATGGCGTTTCATGTGAGTTATAAATCTCCTACTAAAGTTTAGAGCGAAACTTTCACTCCCACTCAGAACTAAATGCTTCTCCGGATACGAGGTTCTGATAACAACATCCCACACACACACCATCATTCATCTCACGTCTCACTCCACCTTAGTCCATCAGTACACAGAGTGTTGAAGTTAGTCTTGTTTAAATTGTGTAGAAATAAATTTAACTATTATAAACCTGACTCTCTCTCTTTCCTCGGAGTTAATACGGTGTCGCTTAATCCCTGCAATAAAAAGTTCCGATCTTCTGGTTAAAATATTCAAAGATCCATCAGACTGATATTTCATATTTCTATGGAATCTCACATTTTATGGTTCATCAGATGTAAACTACCCGTCGTTACAATCTGAACTATTAATTTAAAAGAAACATAAAAAAACTACTTTTTTAACATTGACTTGAAATAAAGCAACTCTGAGCAAAAATCCAGCAAACCAAAGAAAGAAAAGTCATGCATTTTATTTTTAACGGACATTTAGTTTTTATTGGTGTTTTAAAAGTACAGCACAGTCAAATTAAACACACTCCTACGATACCTGGGAGTATTTTTTTACTGAATAATACAGAAAACTGTGAGAATGAAAATATCGTGCAGAGTGAGGTCTTCGATGTCCTTTAAAGCATAAACACAGCAGCAGAAGCCATAACGCGTCTAGATCACTGCGGGACGTATCGACCCATACATCATAAATTACTAGCATAAACAAAACGCTGTTGTAGCTTTAAGAAATGTGCAAATATGACCTTTAAAACAAAGAGAACTGCAAGCATGAAAAATCCAGAACCAACAATCACAGAAGTAAACAGCTGCTGGGTACCGACGAAAAGCAAAGGAACAAACGTCTTCAACACCATTCAAACACAACCGGTGCGAGCGTGGCAGTGAGTGATGTTTACATTTAAATGTTTTGTGATAAGAACATTTGTTGGAGCTTCACACTGCTGAATATTAAAGACGAGGATTGTGTGTTCAGAAGCAACGCTGCTGTGGGGAAGGCATGAGTCACGTGTGAGCTTTTAGCATTCGGTGAGAAGTAAACGTGGAGCTGAAATGTTCATCAAACGCTGCTTTTTACACACTTGTTTATGAACCATAAAGAAACTCAAGCACAGCTACAAATGTCTCTTATTTAAAGGCTAGCTGTAAAAGTCACCTTGACCTTTCTTAGAGGTCATTAAAGCAACACTTTAACACTTCAAGCTATTGCTTTAAAACTGGTTTCAGTGGTTCTTGAGCCAGAAACGTAACAGCTTAACGTTGGACACTAGGCTGTAGCCAGCTGCTGACCAGAAACTGCACTTAACATGATAGCGGTTCGAGTAGGTATGCTAGTGGGAGGTCTTTATCTGCTTTATAGTAATGTCTGTTTACTGTGCCAGTAGCTAATATAAAGGCTAGCAGTTAGCTTTTCAGTTCATCATTAAAAAACACAAGAAGAAAAAAGTCTTTTTTTTCTGTTGGCATCATGGCGGAGCCTGGAAGTAAAACCAAGAGTAATGTCTTTGGACGTAAAGCGAACATCTAAAACCAGAGTGAACATTGGTGCAGCCCATGCTCGTTTGAGGGAGCTGAAGGAGCCTATGACATCACGTACTGATGGTGACCTGGCTTTGTTGCTACTGGATTTGTAAAGAATAAAATTCATACCATCAGAGCAGATATTTTAACTTTGAGCCTCATTTGCACCTGTTGGCTCGATTTAGCGATAGCTAGGTGTTAGCAATGGCCACAGCAGGCTGCTGCAGGGTTGTTTACGACAGTTGTAATTCCACTTTCAACCAGAGGGATGGAGAAGTGGAAAACGTTTTGGGTTTGGCTTTAAATCAAAATAAAAATAAGAAATAACTGACTGATCTATATTCCAGATCAAATCTACAGTTTTAAAACTAATAAATATATATATATATATATATATATATACACTTAAATAAAAAACGATTTAATATAAGACAACATGAAGCAGCGTTTGACTATCATTCCAGCTCTGATGCAAACAAAAAAAACGAACACTGAGGCACGCACGGTGTTGACAAACACATTTTAAAGCAACGTGCAGTGAAATGAATGTCAGTTATTGCTTTGGCTGATTTCACACTGGACGCAGAGTCACATTCAGTAAATAAATAGAATCAAACAATCATGTGATGAACATTCGTGACTAAATATTCATGTTTTTGCAAACCTGCAGAACAAAAATGTGCCTAAAAGGAAACAGTTGAGATGTTCTTCAGATTTTTTTTAAACTTTAGAAACCAAAATTCACTGATTATCAATAATTTGACTGAAATTAACTTTCAGGTGTTTGAGTTGACTTGATGCACATTACTGTCCACGGCTGTGTGCTGATGCAAAGAGCCGACAGGCTACTGTGACTTTAGCAACAGATTATGTAACATTCAGTTCACTCATCAGCTCTGTGGGTTGTTGTACTTTAATCCTGAAGCTAAACTTCAGCTCAGACAGTTGGAGTATTCTGACTGATCTACAAGAAGTTTTTGGCAGAGAAGTAAATTTGGTTTTGAGTTATTAAAAAAGCAACTTGTGGTACAATCATGAGTTTTAAAGCAAGCATGAGCGGAGATGGTGTGACGCAGCCTGATGGTCCACAGCTACAATCGCCATGGTCGTCTAGATGCTGGTGGTCTGACGCTGCAGCGAGAGGCAGTGTGTGTGTGTGCGTGTGTGTGTGCGTGCGTGCGTGTGTGTGTGTGTGCGTGCGTGCGTGTGTGTGTGTGTGTGTGTGTGTAAGTAGAAACATGTAGGAACTTAAATCTTCCCACTTTGCAGTGCTGAGTTTGTTCTCTGGTATTAAAATCTGGTTTTATCCGGCTTTGATTAGTCTTGCCTTGTGCTCCCTGCATGCACCTGTTCCTAATTTATTTTTATATAAGCACACCTGCTTTGCATCAAGCTGCAGGCTTCCTCTTTTGTTGCAGCCAAAGTTCTGTTCCTCTGATTGACCCTCACTGCTCATAATAATAATAATAATAATAATAATAATAATAATAATATGACTTTGAGGGGTTTGTTTCCTTAGTTTATTTTTTATTAAAGAGGATTTTATTTCACTCTGGCTGCCTGGACGTCTCTGAAAACTAAACCTTGACCTCTGAGCCATGACATTTTAGGATTTAACCCTTACATATGTAAAAAGTATGTTTTATTAACGTAAATAATAATTTGTAAGGTTACACTTGCTTAAGGGTAAAGCATCTGTTGTGTTTTCTGGTTTAAATTATTTTCAAATACCAAGACGTTGACATTTTTGTGAGACAAAATCAGATTTCTAAGAATAATCTTAAAACTACAACAATGACCTTATTTAAATATCTTTTTTTGTTTGTTTGTTTTACTGAATTTGTTCCGATTCTGTTGTTGATTATTGAGAGGAACTTTATCTTTTTTTTTTTAAAAAGTGAACAACATTTGTATTGGAAGAATGACTAGCCATGTTCAGGACTCAAATTTTCTATTTTGGTCCTTTTCTTGAACAATGTCACCACCTAGTGGCTTGGCCTACTCATTCACGCTTTGAAGATGGAATGCAAGATTTGGCAAATAATTAGGTGTGTGTGTGTGTGTGTGTGTGTGTGTGTGTGTGTGTGTGTGTGTGTGTGTGTGTGTGTGTGTGCAGTGGCGGTTTTACCATTAGGCATAGGTCGGCGGCCGCCTGGGGCCCCCTTATGTTGGGGGCACCCTAGCCCTGACCTCTGGCACCCCTCTGTTAATGCCGCAATGGACTATTTATTTTAGACGCCGATGCACAAACAGGAAGTGATTGGTAGTCGTTCCACTCCAATCCAGTTGGTGGCAGTAATGCACCAAATTGTTGTTTGTCAAGTGCCACAAGAGCACAAATAAGAAAAAGAGAAAGCAGAAAAAGAAGGAGAGAGGCGGAAGCATTTGTAACAAACTCGAAGCGATAGTCAAAACATGAAGCATGAAATGAAGTTATCCTCGTGGCTCCAATAAGAGAAAGAAGCAGCTTGCTTTAAAAAAGCTTTTATCTTCACTTCTGAAAGTGACGTCGTTTTTCGATGTAAACATCAAAGGAAGCAGAAAAGGAAAGACAATGGAAAATGTTTAAAGGGAGGAAAACATGGACCAAAATGGAAAATAGAAAAAAAAGAAAGGCAAAAGCACAGGAGCACTGACAGGAAGAAGAAAGCAGAGCAAATACTGAAAGCACTCAAAGGGAAATACAGGAACAAAGCGGAGGACTAATAAAAAGGGAAAATAACTCGTGTCAGAAGAGGGGAGAGTTCCGCTAATCCAGTTAAAGATAAGATTGTCGAAAATTTAGAGTAAGGGGGCCCATGTCTGTGTTCGCCTTGGGCCCCCAAATTGCTAAATCCGCCACTGTGCGTGTGTGTGTGTGTGTGTGTGTGTGTGTGTGTGTGTGTGTGTGTGTGTGTGTGTGTGTGTGTGTGTGTGTGTGTGTGTGTGTGTGTGTGGTGATCTTTTGGCAGTGACACATCATGATGTTAGCTGAGACAAGAACGTCTCCTGTTTTTAGTCCAGCGGTTTGAGGAATCATTAGCGTTTTTCAGATTTGTTTATTTTTAACTGAACACTTGCTGGAGACGTGTGAAGATGTGAGGGTGGAGACTTTACAGGTTGACCAAGTGGAGGTCAGAGGCTGAGAAGTGAGGACACAGAGCCATGTCCGGGTTCTTCAGCTGTCTCAGGATCCTCCGGTGGAATTTGGAGCGGACCCGGTTGAACTCCATGATGTCGCTGGGATCCTCCTCAATCCAGAAGCGGTGGAACTCCTGCATCAGGTAACCTGTCGCAGCGAAACGCTTACTTTCACTACAACGACCCCTTTGATGCATCTTGTTTTCAGGCAAGTCTAGTTCATTAATTCACCTGAGACCTTGTTGAGTTTTATTCAAATGAAAAATGCTAAAGTTAGCATAAACACATCTGGCTTCGCTGTAAAATAACAACAAATGTTTTTATAAACAGCAGTTTACTCACAGAACGTCTGCTGGAAGTGCAGCAGGTTGGGAATCTCTGGAGCCACGTTGTACAGGTGAGTCTTCAAAGCTCCGCCCACCAGCAGAGACCAGGCTAGGTCAGTGATGTTGATGCCAACGATGGCAAAAGAATACCTGGAGGGGTATGTGTTAAGACAGGTAAGAGAACTATTTTACTGTAATATTACCTGATATTTAAATTTAATCAATTTCCCTCTGGGATTAATAAAGTATTTTTGAATTCAATTGAATTTGAATATTAGAAACTTTATTGGTCCAAATAATTTAAATAATGCAAATTTTATTGTTTTTTGTGGGAAAATTTTACAGAGTTGTTGAAAATGGGAAAGCAACGGGGGTAAAACAAGCTCCAGATTAAAAGTTGAACTCAAAACAATAAATAAATGAAATTTAAGACATTTTATATGAAACAGTGTTTCATGAAAATATCTGAACAGGTGTAGACCGCATGTTCCCTCACTGCTGCGTCTGCACAAGCTGCTGCCGGACCCTTACCCGATAGCTTTGTCCAGGTTCTTCTGTTCCCAGTCGGGCTTGCCTACCTCACTGCGAAGGACAAATGCGTGAGTCGTGAACGACATGGTGGCAAGATAAAGATGATAAAAACAAATAATCCCTGTTTTATTCGGCTTCTTACGGCTGTGTCAAGTGTGAAAATATTCAGTCTCACAGGTTGGAACAGGGGTGGAGACTCTGTCAAAATGACATTTTTAGGGTTTTGTGTTTAATCTAGCAGCTTCAGAACTGATTCCTCCAACACAAGAGAAGACATCTTTAAATTCTTGTTTCAAACAAACAATAAAAATCATACTTAGTGAAGCTTTAAATGCACGAAATAAGAAGCTAAAAGGAATGGATGCAGAAAACGGCGAGTGAGCGTGAGGTGAGGTGAAGTACCTGCGCTTTCTGTGTGTGCTCCTGCGGGGAATGGCACAGAAACAAGGAGGACATGGGCAGAAAATGGAGGTGGAAGAAGGAAAGAAAAGAGCATAATCTTCATTTGAGAGATGATAAAGCTCAGCCGTGCAGCGATGACAAATAATACAAGCAGCAGCAGTCAGAGAAAAGTGAAGCAGCCGATGAAATCGAGCTGAAAGAGTGAAAGTGATCGAGCAGAGAATGTGGAGTTTAAAGTAGAGGCAATCAAACAGGTTTAGAGTCAATAAATCCTCTGATTTGTTGAAAAGGTGCAGCTGAAGGCTTATTTTAGATTTTCAGCTTCAGGAACCAGACGGTTAAATTCACCCGTCCCTCTCCGCTGTGCTCCAGCTCGGCCTCTGACATGCCTCCTGCAAAGCACGCACCACCTTTAAGCGGCTGACGCCAGTCCTAAACCTCTCCCTGCCCTGGTCGGTTCCTTTCACTCAGTCCTGATGGCTTCTCACAAAGAAAAGCTCTACATTTAGCGTATTTACGACATTGTTAGGAGGCTGCACGTTATTTTGTTAAATCTAATTAGGTTGAAATCCATCAGTTAGCAATAACAAAAGCCGATTAAAACCTCTGTTTGGACAACTAACGGTGGGGAAAACCTACTTGTGCTTTGGTTGTAAGGAATCCTGGAGCATCTGCAGCGCTGTGGCTTTGTCGTGTTCCGCAAAATACCTGCAGAAAAACGTTCTAACTCAAATCACACGTATGCACGCGAAGGAGCTCTTCCACAGGAGGAGCAGCTAGCGAGTACTGTTGCCGGAGAGCTTACAGCAGGTTGTGAAGACCCAGCAGGCCCATGCCTCTGAAGTCAGTCTTGGGATCGTTGCCTTGGAAACCGATTTCACACCACTGCTTGGAGATGCGACCGGTGAGAGGGGTGTCAGGACGCAGTTCCTCCCACAGCTACACACAAAAACAGTTAACCAGGGTTTAAACGTGCTGTGGCTGCTCTCTGCAGAAGCCCCTCAGGAGCTTGACTCATAAACTAGTTGATATCTGACTGATATTTCTGCTCGTTAGGACAAAGCTCCTCGGACGAGAAGAAAGATCATCATCAGTGAAGACATGCTTTCCATGTCTTGAAACTCTGACACCAGCACGTTGTCCAGATTTATGAAGTGAAATTCCTGTTAAACCGGTCCACATGGAGCTCTGTACCTTCAGCAGCATCTCCTCGTGCTCGGCGTTCTCACAGTCGTACGGTTCCCTGCGTAGCTTCTCCACCTCCGACACCAGACTCCTGTAGCCCACAACCTGCAGCAGACTGGCCTGCAGAGAGATGCCCAGCCTGGGGACACAAAGAAAGAAGGTCCCATCTGTCAGACTGGTTGATGTTTACTGGTAAAAAGAACCGCCTCTAAAAGGATGGTGATGCAATCAAACAGTGCAAAGGATCTACAGCAGGGGTATTCGTTTCTGGGACTGGAGGGGTGGTGTCCAGCGCGTTTTAGTTTTAACGCAGTTTCAACACACCTGATTTCAATCAGCGAGTTACTAACAGGCTTCTGCAGAGTCTGATGGACTGCTGCACATGTGATTCAACCACTGAACCAAAGGTGTTGGAGCAGAGAAACCTCTAAAACGTGCTGATACTGGCCCTCCAGGCCCGGAATTGAATAGCCCTGATCTACTACGTGTGTGTGCATGTGTGTGTGTGTGTGTGTGTGTGTTTACTGTGGATTTGTATCCGGGTTAATCTTCTTCAGAGCCATGATGTCATCGATGGTTTTCTCGACTTTGTCAGGATGGACGCTGAGTGCCGACTGCAGCAGCTGCAGCGGACACAAAGAAAGGACGTGAGAACCAGGAGGTGAAAAGACGAGGTCACGTAAAGGAGGTTAAGAGGTCATGTGAACAGCGATGAATGTAAATTTTGTCAATAAATAGTTTGAAAGTTGTTAATAAAGATTTTTTTAAATAGCACAAATAGCATCCCGGCACGCGTTGTAGTCGATGACTCAATACTCCCGTCCCAATTCGGCAGTTATTTGCACACTTGTGTACTATGCACTCAAAGCCTTACTGCGCACTTCCTCCATGTGCACTTCACTGAAGACCGTAGGCTGCAATGCGAGTACTGGGATTGGGCCTCAGACGACAGGATTTGGAGTCTTACTTCCTGATATTTGGACGTCTCACCTCTGATTGGCTAACAGCAACACAACTCTACCACTGACCTTGTTTGATTTGCAACGTTGATGTTTTACCTCCACAAATAAGTCAAGCCTGGAGGAGTTCTGCTGTGGGGTGGAGTTGCTAATGCTAACGGTTAGCTTCTACTATCTGAGACGTTTTCTGGCTGATCATTTTCAAAACAAGTTAAAAATGGTTTCTCAGTGGAGAACCTCTTTGACGGATGAATGTTATAATATAATAATATCTGTACCTCATGTTTAGAATACCGCAGAGACGACTCTGAAAGGAAATGATGCAAAGTTCAGGTCAGAGTCATGGAAACCATCATGTAATATTAAAACAATAGACTGTTGTGAATGACGGTGCAGGTTACTGAAGAGTCAGGTGGTGAGTAGACATAATCCCACCTATCTTGTGGGTCCTGCGAGCTCCATGTTTGTTGTTGTAACAGATTCGCTGCAGCTCACAGCTGCCCGTAAACTTCCTGACAACAAACTTCAGGCTCCGCCAGAGACATTTACAGTAGAGGAACACGAAGAACTGGGTCAGGACTCTGCAGAGGGTTAGAGGAGAATGGAAAAATTAACACAATCAGATCTCAGCCTCTGAGTCTTCAGATGATTACAATAAACAACATGAGAACAAATAAACAACTAGTTAGCAACAGTTAGAGCATGCCAAAATATCTCATGTTTACTGCATTTTCATGACAACTAAATTATATATATATATATATATATATATATATATATATATGTATATATATATGTATATATATATATATATATATATATATATATATATATATGTATATATATAGTATATATATACGTATATATATATGTATATATATATATATATGTATATATATGTATATATATATATATATATATGTATATATATCTGTATATATATATATATATATATATATATGTATATATATCTGTATGTATATATATATATATATATATCTGTATATATATATATATATATATATATATATATATATATATATATATATATACACATATATATGTATATATATTGACATATTTTGTGCTATGATGGACAATGTCATTCCAGTTGAACTCAGGTAAATTTTGGAAAAACTTGAGAAATTCAGTTTTTAATTTATCCTTCTGCACAAAAAGTGTCATCGTGCATCAGATTGCTCCAACGACAAGAAAGATTTTGAATAAGTTTTTTTCCAGGATTTGATCTTTCATAAACACAAAGATGTCTATATTATATATTATTCTGTTTTCAGGTCACTTTAAAATATTTTTAACAGATTTTCTAAACTGAAAATGCATAAAACTTTTTAGTAGTCAAAACCGAGCAAAAGTAGGCAACATAACCACCAAATACTAATTAACTAACCCTAACCTGGATATAATCCGGAGGCAGAAAGACCAACCTTCAGCAGATTAAAATAAAGGCAAAGGCTGAGAACAAAAATGAAAACGTCTACATCATCCACAGCCTGATCCTCTTTTTCTCTGATTATTTCACACCAAAACAGACAAACCACATCTACATTTAAAATAAGAAAGTCCTTCTGTAAGCCACACAAGCAGTTTACAACCTTTGGAGGCAGAAATAAATCCCCCCGATGTAAACGGATCACAGAGGAACACCAGAGTCTGTGTCAGCAGTCAGAAGGCATGTTCACACCAGAAGGATTAATCCTGTTTCTGAGCCGTGCGGATGAGACCGGCATGTTAAACAGCGCAGATGGACGCTCTGTCATTTTCTTAACCTTCAGGAAAGCAAGCAGCGAGAAAAGAGAGGTTGTGCGAAGATTCAGAGATTAAAACACAAAACTAACAAGTCCGAACCACCCGATGTTTCATTTTTACACACGCAGGTTGATTTTCATGTCTTGCAGTGATGATGATCAACCTTGTCACGTGCCTTGCCCCTTTTCGGCCACAAGATGGCCTCAGTGGCTTCTGCCTCGTCCGTCTTCCGGTGCCCAGCTGTTTGCAGTTACTGATAATCTCTTGACAGCTGTTAAAAGCTGCTCTCCTGCCCTCGGTCTAAGAGAAGGTACAGGGAAGTGTGGGCACGAAGGTGTTCAGGCTTCTCTCTCCTCCTCGTGTGTTTAGCTTCGTGGTACTTTGGTTGTGATAAACTCTCGTTCGTTAGCATTCCTGGTAACTGTGACTTTGGACTGGCCTTCGACTCCCCTGCTGGATTTCCCCCGAGCGTCTCTGCTCAACAGGACGGCTCTCGTTAGTTTAGTGTTTTGTTTATATAGTGAATATTTCAGTTAGTTTCCTCCTCCCAGCCCTTTTGGCTTGGCGCTTTTTGTTAGTCTCATCTCCTTTTTGTACAGGCTCTTTTGTGTTTGTTGTAATAAAATCCTTTGTTTGGAGACACACTTACTCTGTTACTATTAACCCTACACACGACATCTTCCACACCACTCCTAGCGAGCTGAGGGACGTAACAAACCTGGAAAACACTTGTGCACATTCTTCATGTCAGTTCAGCTAAACAAACATGAGAGGCTGAAGCTAAAACTCAAATGGTTTCACTGAAACATCCGTGAGTTTAAAATAAGATCAATGTTCAACACGTGTCTGCTTTGATTTACAGGCAGCTCTGTGGCCATTTCATTTGTGGAAGGTTTTATTCATCTTATTGGTTCTACTCCAATCATCTCTGCACGCCATTCACAGGAAAACGAATGTTTGAAGAACAGCTTCATTAACAGTCAGGGGAGAGGGAATTCTCAAAGAACCATCTATATTATTATAAAGATCAAAAACTAATCACAAAAACATGAATAGAGCATGTTTATTGTGTTTGTTCTGGTGGTTTGCAGCTAACCTGTTCAGTGACGGTGTGTATTTCCCCTGGCGATAGGGGGCAGTAAACACTTAAATCATTGCAAACAAGCTGTACTTTGTTGCTCCAGTAAGACTTTAACAACGAATGGCCATTAGGGTCAGAAATCCCTGGGAGCGCAATTTTTGAATGAGACTCAGGCCTAGTCCACACGTAGCCGTTTTTTTTTTTAAACGAATATCCGCCTCTCCAAAAACTTGCATCCACACCACCTCGTTTTAAAAAGAAACTCTGTCCACACGTAGCCGGATAAATACGTTGTTAAGGACATGCCAGACCTGTAGGCGGCAGTACTTCCCCCGTTCTTAACCTCGTCCTTCGTCTGTGGTCTTCCGCAAGGAGCAGTAATTCCGCTTGCAACAACAAACAAGCAGAAAGCGCTTGGACAATTGATAAAGCGAGCGCAGCTCTGAGGGCATCCATGCTGTCGGCTAGTGTAAACACAGGTCGCACACGTGATGTCAGCATTTTTTGTGGCGGAAAGTGACGTTGCGGACCTTAAAACTCCGGTTTTGTCCGTCCACACGCAGACACCCAAAACGGAGAAAACGCAGATCTTCACTTTGGCCGGAGTTTTTAAAAAAGATCCGTTTTCGTGTGAAAAAACTCCGTTTTCGTGTGGATCACAGGCCAAAACGTAGAGAAATATCTACGTTTTGGCAGATCCCCGGCTACGTGTGGACAGGGCCTTAGACCCGCTCTCATGTATTTTAGACCTGATGTTTATGGTTATGTTAAAGCGCCAATATTTTGCAACAGCTGGGCATCCTTTAATTCATTTTCAGCAACATTTAGTCAGATATTTCCAGTGATTAATGGTAAAAACTACACATTGTCTCTTTAAAACTAATTATTGAAGTGTTTAATAACATAAACAGCTGTCAAATTCACCTGAACACAAGTGTGAGATAAGACTTTACTGTTTATTAGATGGTGAAAAAAAACAGTGAAATATTTCCAGCATTTTCTTTTTATTTTTTACTGTTCTTTTAAAATAGGTTATATATATTTATATTGTCATTTTTTGTTTTACTCAATAACTCCAATGCGTTTTAACATATTAGAACACCACAATTTAAAAAGTATATTTTAAAAGTTTCCGTGGTTTTTTAAAGTAAATTTTTAAATGACTAAAAAATTTGCAACCTCTGATTGATGGTGGACTAGCTAAAAACTATTTAATTTTTCAATTTTGAGGAAATATTTTAGGTTTGTTGACGCTTTGGTGTGTACTCGCTGTGTCAGGTAAAAATTCATAATCAAACAGAGTTTTTACATTTTAAACTGTTGTAGAAATGCTTCCTGCCTGAATGCAAATTGTTCCCTATGCAGCCAAACCAAGGCTAGACTTGGTGACTCTTTAGTCTGTCTGTAGCATCCAGCTGTGAAGACCCCCTTGAAGACTTCCTATTATCTTCTGATGAAGGTGTGGTCATCTTTGACTTGGTCCTAATAAAAGCTCTCCGCAGCTTTATTTCTGTGTGAGAACAAACCGCCTCTGACTCTGGTGTGTATGTTTCACCCTTTGCAAAGTTCGTTTATTGATTGTTGTTTGATGATTACCATTTCCAAAAAGATCTAATCCCTCTGTGTATGCTCTGACTCTTTTGAGGTAATTTGGACGTGATATAGGAATTACCCAACACTCTGCACTCTGATCTCACTGTGAAAGAACAGAAAACTAAATGTTCTGTTTTATGTGGAGGTGTGTGTCATTGACTGTTTAGTAATCTCCAGAAACCTTGATCTTAACACCAGGTCACGTGAATCTAACTTTGACCAGTTTCACGGTGTTTAGTGACATTTAACCTGCTCAAAAAATGATGAGTTCTCATGTGATTTCCCAAAATTCATTTATTAATTTTTTTATGATAAATTCATGCAATTCTTTAAAAATGTTGTCTACCCTGCACAAACATCACTTCCATGTCTAAATTGCATAGTTTTTTTGTTTTTGCAAGGCTGCAGGACATGAAATCAGACAAAAATACCAAACAGCAGACAATAATAAATGTGTTTAAGAAGAAATAACATCAAACTCTTCAGCTTTTATGTTCTTTAAGAAGCAGTCATCACATGTCTGCGACAAGAGGCAGCTGAGCCATTAATTAGAAACACCTCTGGAGAGCATTTGGGTTACATGCGCTCCATCATAGAAGCCCCCCCCCCCCCCCCCCCCCCACACACACACACACACACACACACTCCCATCCCCTTAAATTCGCCTACTAACCACCACTCTAACCACTCCCTAACACCACACTTATCTATAAGAGAGAGCGAACATCAAGTGAGAACACGAGGATTAAGCCCAGAGAGTTCCTCGTTTTTAGCTAAAATGAGCGGATTTTACCTGAGAAAATGCTTCATGATGGCCACCGTCACCCGTCAGGTGTGGCCTGTTCTGATCCAGATGACTGATAACCTGAGGAAAGAGCAGATCACAGGTCTGGTTCTGGTTTTTGGGGCTTTTTAGGCCCCATGTGCGTCCGATTTTCAGCACCACGGACAGCTCCAGTGATCAGGCGCAGACCTTCCTGTTATAAACGTGCGGTCACCTGTCCGCGGGTCTCCAGCACCCCGAAAGAGACGCAATCCAGCAAAAAACAAGTCCTCTCACGTTGGATTAAGACGCAGACCGAATAATCCGCAACAGCGAACAAACGCAAACCCGAGCTCTAACAAATTAAAACTAGCTCCAACGATGACATGTGAAATCTTACCGCCTCCAGATGAGTGACGCGGGTCTGACTGCGGCGGTTCTGCGGGAGCGCTGCGGTTCTTCACTCGGCTCCAGTCGTCTGCTTGTCCTCCATGATGAAACGCAACGACGGAAGCTCTGCAGCAGCTCAACGCACTGCAGATTAGAGGACAAAGCCTCCAGCAGGGCGGCAGATTCACCCATTCACACCTTTCATTCACTCATTTAAAACGTTAAAGCGTTAAAGGGTCCGGGATTAAACAGATTATGTAATAATCCTTAACATTTTAGAGAGAAAAGTGTTTAAATACACACATCTTTGCTTTTTCAGCAAACTATCCACTGTGAAATGAAATGATAGCGCAGAAACGACGATGTTGTCTTCTTGTTGAATTTTTATAAAGCACGGTTTCAAATGTGTTATTTACTGTAAAACATCTTCGTCGTATCGTGTTTTGGCCACTTGGTGGCACTGTAACAAATAGTTTGCAGAAGAGTCTTCTTCGTCACATTTTTCTGAGTAGCAAACAGATAAAAAGATAAAAGTGCAGATTTGTAAATAATTCAGAGATAAGAGCGATCCAAACCAAACAGGTTCTATGTGGAAAGTTAATCATGCATTAATTATTCAATTCAATTCAAGTTTATTTATAAAGCACCAAATCACGACAAGAGTCGTCTCAAGGCACTTCACATAATAAACATTCCAATTCAGGTCAGTTCATTAAGCCAATCAGAAATAATGTTTCCTATATAAGGAACCCAGCAAATTGCACTTTACAGCAATCCTCATACTAAGCAAGCATGCAGCGACAGTGGAGAGGAAAACTCCCTTTTAACAGGAAGAAACCTCCAGAGAATCCTGGCTCAGTATAAGCAGCCATCCTCCACGACTCACTGGGGATTGAGAATGACCACATGATTTGGAAAATGTTATTCACAACACACAAAAAAGTAAACTACGGCTCTGTGTTGATGGTTTTACTGGGAAAGTTTTGCTGTATTGCATCAAATGATTTTCACAAATCGATGGCAACCAATAAATTACAAGTTTCATCAAAAGATTCATCGCCCCTGAACCCCTCATCCAATCAGTGTGAAGGTCTCAGTCTTGATGACTAGATCCTGATCCATCGGTCCTAACTGTCCTCTGTCCTCTATGTACAGAAATCCTGTGTGATCAGCACGGAGCAGCTGAACAGGCAGTGAAGCCAGAGCGGGGCTGTCTAGCAGAACCATCGACATACACATATATAGCATAACGGACAGAATGTTCTTCGTTCCTTTAACGTTGTTTTCCATGTTTTGTCGAGTCTGGTACCGGTAATGCTGGGAAATATTTTGGTGACGGACTCGTTTGTGAACGCAGCTGCCAGGTTGTTGCCTTGGTGACGGATTTAGTGCATTTCATGGGAAGTTTGGACCTGTTTGTTCCTGTGCTAAGCTAAAGCTAAAACTGGCCTCATTTTTTTCCACCATAAAACACCACACTACATTAGCCAACATGCTAAGCTGCTACTGCTACGAAAGGGCCTTATGTTAAGAATTACTGCAGAAAAGGTAACAAAAACGGGTGAAAAACATAAAACTGAACTTTGTATTCTACCTGAGCAACTTGGTTTGTATTATTTTCAAAAAGTAGATTAGTGGAACACTGTTCTCTGTGTCTATAGCTTTAACAGTTTAAAAAGGCCTTATTCTATCGCTCAGATATATTATAAATAGGATTTTCATGCAGACTAAGAAATGCAGTCACCATCTTCACCACCAGATGTCAGTAAACAGTCTACTAAATCATTACTCAGGAAAGGAACTAAAAGAAACAAAGAAGAGTAGAAAAATCTTTATTGGTAAAAATTATATCAACAATTATACAGCATCATATTTAGGGCTCCATGATATTCCAGATTCAAATTCCCAGAATTTGAATTTCATTTTTGGGGCAAAATATAAATATTTATATTAAAAATTTGATGAGATAATTTCCATTTGTTCCAGACATCATGTGTAACCAGGAATAATAATAATAATAGTTTAAAAAATAATACATGGAACACATTTCCAGAAAAAAAGAAAACCTGGTTCTGCTAAGTCCAGATGAGTCTTTGTTTGTTGTTGTAGAAAAAGCAGCATATGCTTTAGGGCCGACCCGGCCTCTACGACGTTTGTGCAACATTTGGTAAACGCTACATGCTCCTAAAGGTTGGTTTATGCAGACTTGGTTCAGACGATGCCCAAAGAACAACCTTCAGCTGCCATGTAAAATGCTGTTTCACTGTTGTGTCAATGTAAACATATGACATGGACTCAGGCTCCTGAAAAAGGTGTGTGTGTGTGTGTGTGTGTGTGTGTGTGTGTGTGTGTGTGTGTGTGTGTGTGTGTGTGTGTGTGGTGTGTGTGTGTGTGTGGTGTGTGTGTGTGTCCCCACTAGTTTTCCCAACTACAAAACAAACAAGTCATGGTTTATGAAAACATGAAAGAGTGAAAAAGTGATGTAATTAACTCTACTTCTAGAAATTTATATTTTTATGTTTATCTCCAACTTCCAGAAGTTGAGACAATAACGTCTGGCTGTGTTTGTTTATTTGCAGGGTAAAGCCTGAGTCATGCTTCTCCGTCAGCTCCAACAGCGAGAGACACGCGCGGACGGAGACGTTTTGCCCTCAGACTTCTCCGTCTCCTGGGGGAGTGTTGCAAAGCAGTTCCCCGCCAGGACAGCAGAGGGCGTAGCGCTGTTCTGTGGTATCCTGCCATGTATCGGTCTAAGATAGTGTGTTTATATAGTTTTTTGTATATAAGAGACTTTTAACACGGACAAATTTGTCTCTCATCCTCCTCCACCGCTTCATGCGCTCGCCACCTCAAAACCCACGTTTCCTGTCATTTCCGCCCACAAATAAAACGCTTGGTTCACTCCTCCAGTCACGGGGAATTAAACGTTCATGTTTTTAGAGTTTTTTTGCAAGGTATTCTTCAAGCTTCTCCGTGTCTGCCGGCCGCTAAAAATGTCCTCGGCTCTCTTTATGTTTTTGAGGGCGCAATGTCGGCGATGTAGACGATAGCGGTGCCCTGACCAATCACAAGCTTGCGTTCTCCGTCTCGACGGACGGATGTTTGGAAAAGAGAGCTCCGTCCATCCTTGCGGGGGCTCTCCAGTAGGCCCGCAAGGATGGATAATGGCGTTGTGTGCCTCCGCACTGATGCAGACGGAGAAGCACGACTCAGGCATTAGTCACGTGTGTCCCTGCACAAACTTAGAACGGTTAGAAAAACATCTGCGACTGATTGGTGTTTGGAGTCGACTCATTCAAGATGAGCACACCTGAGGCCCGGTTCACACGACTGGGTTTTTTAATTGTTGAACGATTTTCCAAACACGAGATGAAATCAAATCATTTTACAATATAAAAATAAAGTCACACAGGTGGTTCAATTCAGAGATCAAAAACTGATTTGGCTTCAAAAATGTTGTGCGTGTGCTGAAAGTGAAGTGGAAAACGTTGGCCAGGACCAAAACCTATAAGCGCTGGGATTGGCATTTCGAAAATCCATATCAGTCTACCTGCACTTCAGAGCAGACCAGAGTGCTCTTAACACACCACACATGGCAGGATTATCTGATGAGATTATCTCATGGCCATCTTAAAGAGCAAGTCACCCCCAAATACACTTTTTTTGCTGATAAACTAAAAAAACGAGTGTCTAATCGTGCTGCAGACACGTGTCGTCAATAATTTGGCACTTCAGTGCATCTTAGTTAAAATTTTAATATTCTGCCTAAAACTGGCAGTGTTGTGCCGTTGTCAGGTAAAAACTCTGCACTGTATTTTAATTTAAATCTGCCACCGCTATTGGCTAAGAGGTATGCTATGATGTAAACTGGTACATTATGATGTCACAATGTTGTTGTGAGCCTGTGTGTGTGTATTTGTTAGCAGCTCCGCCCTCTCGGTCTGCCAGGCAACAGCATTTGTTGCATTTTCAATTGAGAGTGGAGTTAAAAACTGGTAGGGGTTGACTTGCTCTTTAAACTTGTCAGAACGGAAGACTGGGGTCAAATGTCTTTTTGGGTGAACCGGGCCTTCTAGGAAAACCAACGAAATGGAAGAAACTCGGTGACTTTCACAGATGCTGAGCTAAAACTCAGGGTCAACACCTCCTCTGTGTGAAGAACGAAGGAGCTGGAGACACCTGCATCTATTACACTGACCAGTGAGCGCCACCTCTTTCCTTCTACACACTGCTCGACGTTCCTCAGGTGTGCAGCACCTGCTCTCAGTCGGACGATGTGCAGAGCGCTCCGACATAATAGACCACACGGGATCTCAGGACATCGTTATTTTGACATTTGGTTAAAACAACTACAGCTGTCAACATAAAAGACCAGGGCTTGAAATCCTTGCGTGAAAGGCTGTTAGAGATACCACTTCAATTAAGGAACACTAGACTTTTAATTGAGAACACAGAACAGCAGAGACTCAACACACCATTTCATTTTGACCCAGTAGTGAAAAACAGTAAAAAGCTCATTTCCTCCTTTTAGGAAAGAAAAGGTAAACAGCTCAACTCAACACTTCTGAAATTGTTTTGTTTTTTGTAAGAGAAGTCGAATAACAGTAACTCCTGACTTCTGTTAAATCGTACGGGTGATGTAACGATCGCAGGAGCCGACACGGTTGCTGTTAGGTTTCTAAGTGCGTGGTTTGTTTCGAGGGAACGTCTGTAACAGAACTAAAGCACAAACTCACCTTTCAAAGCTAATCAGGTAACAAAATCAACCCAGTTCCTGTTCAGTTGCAGTTATCGACAGCAATGAAGGTTTCAGCTTCTTCGTCTGCATCCATCAGGGGGTTGGAGGAGCTCCCGGCCGCGCGGTTGGCGAACTCCTCGGCTGAGTTGTTGGGTGGCGCCGAGGAAGTTGGGACGACGTTGAACATGATAAAACCCACAGTGATGACAGCAAACGAGATGAGGTAGAGGACTGAAAACTGAGGATGAGAAACAGGACAGAGACGTTAATCTCACTTCAGATTTACGGCTTTGTGCAGATAAACAAACCTTAAATCTGCCAACTAAAGGTTGGTTTATGCTTGACGCGTCCGCGAGGTCCGCACGACTCCGCGCGGGAAAAGTTGCATCATTTTAACAACCACGCCCCTCCACCACGCCTCCGCACGGCCCAGAATTTCTGCAACGCACACCTCGGAAAATTTCTAACCACGAGGACGGTCAGATGCGGAAAAACATGGCGGACCGGCAAGAACTAGTATGGCAGAGGTTGGTAAATACAGACATTTGTATGATTCAGCTCTCAGAGATCACCGTGATCAACATGTTGTTAATAATTCTTGGAGAGAAATAGCTCGCACTGTCGGAAAAGACGAGAACGCTGTTAAAAATGCTGGAATGCCGTGTTGTAAACAGGAATTTCTACTTCTACTATGGTTTAGTGTTGGATGCATGCCGTAGAGCTCCATGCTGCCCCCTACAGTTTGGGAGAATATTGGCTCACCGCAGAGACGAGCCGCATGAACCATAAACGCTGCAAGTTGTGAAGCGCGTTCCATCCGCGAGCCGCATCGCCGCGCGGAAAGTGAACGCGTCAAGCATAAACCAAGCTTAAAACCTCTGAGAAAGAAACAAGCCGTTAAAACCTGATGACTTCATTCACTAAAACATTTAAAGGGTTTCCAGTTTTCTCTCAAACGTCAAGAGTCTCATTTTCATCTCACTGAAATTTCTCCTCATAATGAGAGATTTTGCCAAAAAACGAGGTGGAGTGCACCAGCTGTTCCTAACTGAAGCCAGTCTTAACTCTTACGCCTAACATGGCCCGGTCGGACGTAACGACTGCAGTTACAACCGAGTGCACCAACTCAGACTAGGACCAGTCTGCGCCTGGGCATATCGTGCACATTCATGAGGATACAGGCAATGCTGTGCTCACTGCCTAACAACACATCTGCTCCAAGAGCAACAAGAATGGATGAGGAAGCTCTGTTGGCAAGATGACCATGGCTGCCATCAGTAACAAGCGTGACGGCTGAGCGCGTACAGTTAAAGGTGTGGGACACTGAAAACCAGTTTTAATGATTACTTCTGATCATAATCAGTAACACTGAGTTTTTCATGCAGGCTGAACATGAAAATAGTCTCCTACACCTATCTGCTGCATTAGCTTCTGATAGAAAACAGACGGTGAAACTCTAAGATTTAAAATCCTGACAGATCTACGTCACCCTGTCACTAACATTCATGGACTCACCCATCTGGACTCACGACGGGGACGGCCGTTGTTGGTTTAGCGTCCAGGAAACAGCAGAGAACGTCTTGTCTAGTAGAAGCTAATATTAGCATTAGCAACTCCACCACATAGCAGAACTCCTCCAGTTATTTGTGGAGGTAAAAGCAGCTGTTTTCTAACCCGGGGCGAGATTTCCAAATATCAGGAAATGAGACTCCTAGGTCAACTAAATGGTGCATTTGGATTTTTATTACTGACCGCTCAATGCTCTGATAAAATAGCGATTAAACAACAGAGAGACTTACGCACAGGAACAAACAAAGTTATCGACTGCATCCTCGCTGTGTCCCAACAGCTAGGTTAGCTTCATCTTCAGGTGGTGCACACATCTTAATACCGAGCTGGGCGTAACTTCTGAATCTACGCTGGACCTAAGGTTACGCCCAGCTGGTGCACCCCGCTGCAGCTGTCTGACATTCTGATGCAAAAGTGCACGTGTGTCACTTGTGATTCATCTTCCCAAAAATAAGACAAAACGTCGGCATTTTCATGATTTTTCATGGCTGCCACATTTAAAAGCCACCTACCTTGTAGTGGAAGAGGAAGAGGCCACAGAAAAGGCTGAAGAGGTCGGCGGTGAGCAGAGAGAGGTTGACGGCAGTGGCGCTCGTCAGCCTCACCACCACGGGCATGAAGCTGTAGAGTGCGTACATCATCGAGATGTAGAGTCCAAACAGCAAGACTGCGGAGCAAAAAGAACAGATTTATGTGAGCGACGGATCGCGGAAGCATAAATTAATAATCTTCAAGTAAACGGAGTTTTTAACTCACTGATGAAACGGTCCCACTTTATTGAACTGACTGCATGAGTTTCAAGAACGGCACTAAAATAAGATCAACCCACAGAGATTGGAGGTTTCATTAGAGCAGGAATTTCAATAGCTGCTGGTGATCAGCGAATAAAGTACGGAAGTCAAAAGGATCATTTAATCAGTGACTTACAGCTGCACACCACTGATGAGAGACCCGAAGAGGCCCATCATGCCCAGAAACTCCACTAGGCTGCCGTTCTTCACCGTGTGTTCCTGGCATATATTAGATACAGCATACAGGATGGCACTGAGCAGCACCAGGCCGTCTCCAAGCAACACGTCGCCACGCACGTCACTGGCTGCACGGGTGGAAGGGTCAGGTTAAAACTACAATGGTCATTTAGAGAGACCTACTGAAAAAAGCAATGTTTTATAAAGTCATGAAAACTTCTTTACTGGATCCCTGAACTCTTCCAGCCAAAAAGTCAGCTCCCACCATTGCCCCCACCCCTAACAAGCACACCATCACTGCTACGAAGTGAACCAGCTTGTAGCGCGTCTTCATAAAGAACCAGGACAGTGCCATCAGCACCGGGATGACAAAGCAGTCCAGCAGCTGAAGAACACAGAACAATATAAGACAGGCTCCTTTAATATGAAAAACATTTGATTTCAGATGCGATCATCAATCATAAAAGCACAATCTGGGACCTGTATGCTTGTCAGGGTGGTAAACTGGTAAGCCTTCACAACCGCATAGTTGGCCTCCACGTCGGCCAGACCCATCACCAAATACTTCCACCATTTAGTTCTCAGGATCTGTAGGATGTTGCCATCGCCTGTGGAAACATTTCAACAAATAAATCAGAAAGCTTCTAAAAGATGTCACACTTGTAGTTCTGAGCACCTTAAAGAGCAAGTCACCCCCAAAGCAACTTTTTTTTCTGATAAACTAAATAAATGTGTGTCTAATTGTGCTGCAGACACGTTTAGGCAATAGTTTTGCACTTTAGTGCATTTTAGTTAAAAATTTAATTTTGTGCCTAAAACTGTCAGCGTTGAGCCGTCGTCAGGTAAAAACGCTGCACTGCATTTGAATTTTAATCTGCCATCGCTATTGGCTAAGAGGTACCCTAGAATGTTAGATGGTACATTATGATGTCACAATGTCGTTGTGAGCCTGTGTGTGTGTGTGTGTATTTGCTAGCGGCTCCGCCCTCTCGGTCTGCTAGGCAACAGCATTTGTTGCATTTTTCAAACAGGAAGTGGGAGTAATACTCTGGTAGGGGGTGGGGTCGTCACGGTGTGAAAATGTAACCTCACGGTTATTGTGACCAAAATTACCACGGTTTTCGGTATTATCGCGGTATTCTTTTTAAACGTGTTACATTTTCACACAATTAAATAAACCCTTTAAGTCAGGAAATATCGTCCTCAGTTTGTGGCTAAATTGTTGTGTTATTTTGTAATTATGTTGTTTATTTGTTTACATGTTTCCCTTTAGTCTTTAAAATACCAATATTTGCCCATAACTTCTTATTTTATGTCTGTTTGATGTCATCATTTAAAAATATTAGATCAGATGATACTCAGTACTCAAGTAGCCTTCTAATCAGATACTTTTTTACCCTTACTTGAGTAATAAACCCTATATCAGGAAAATATTGTCCTCGGTTTGTGTCCTTCCAGTGAGCTTTGCAGATGTGGGAAAATGTCATCAGGCAGTAATCGTTGTTAAATTCATAATTATTCTCGGAGAGAGACCAACTCTTATCTGCCCCTGGGAGCCCCGCAATGCATAGCGTCATTTCAACATGGCGGTGTCCGCGACACGGTTTATATGCAGGTAGCGGCGCTGCGGCTGCTTTATATAGCGACTCGTTGCGTTCTCACTCACCCCAAATCCTCGCATCACACATTTTAGCTAAAACGCTAACGTTAGCTTGCCTTGCGTTGACTGTAGAGTTGTGGGTGATGGTCACACAGATGTGTCATGAGATTTGAAGCGTTGCTGCCTTTCACAGACACTTTTTCTTCACGTGCTGCAAACAGGATAGCCGTCTTCTATCAGCTGTCCCTCGGCATTCTCCAGATATCCTAAAGATGCCCGTACTTCCCACTTTGTCTTCTTTGAGGGATAATAAATGTCCTCCTGAGCGCTGCCGTCTCCTCCTTTGGCCATTATTTCAGCTTTAGCTTCAAGAAAGTTTTGGTTGTAAACAACAAAGTGCGCATGTGCCGCCGGCAACTTCAGCAGATGATACGGTGGCTGGTAAGGGTCACCGCGCCTACACCGCAGCCACGGTAAACCACCGAGATAATATAGTTTTTTAAAAAAACAAGACGGTTATTATTATTGTCAACTTTTTTTTTTACCGGGGTATACCGCTACACAGGTTACCGTGACAACCCTAGTAGGAGGTGACTTGCTCTTTAACTACATTTCTCTACCAAATAAGGAGCCAACATAACCCATCCATTCATCCATTGTCTGAACCCGCTTGTCCACGTAGGGTCATGGGGGTGGGGTGCCTATCTCCAGTGGTCAACCGGCAAGCAGGCGGGGTACACCCTGGACAGAGAGCCAGTCCATCGCAGGGCACCACAGAGACACACAGGACGAACAATCATGCACACACACACACACACACACACACCTAAGGACAATTTGGACAGACCAATCAACCTAACAGTCATGTTTTTGGACTGTGGGAGGAAGCCGGAGAACCCGGAGAGAACCCATGCATGCACAGGGAGAACATGCTAACTCCATGCAGAAAGACTCCAGGCCGGGAAGCAAACCCAGGACCTTCTTGCTGCAAGGCAACAGCTCTAACCACTGCGCCACTGCGCAGCCCACCAACATAACCTTTGAGTTAAATTTGAAGGACACTTGAGAGATTAAGACTAATAATTTACTGTATATTTGCTAGCCAATAAAAACATGAGGTAATAGAATCAGTTTAAATATTGTGACTTTTTTCTTACATTATATTAGTTTTATGGTTGATAAAACACATGTTTATGACATTCTTTGCACAAAATTCCTCTCATATAAAGACTTTAAACAGTTTTATTCTCAGGAGTTTTATGACCATCCAGAAGGAGTCGTTTCAAGGCTCTGTCACTTTAAGAAAACAAGCTAGAGCCGACTGTTGCAACCGTAGGCTGCACCAAAATCGGGAATAGTTGCTCACCCTGCATCGACTCCAGTTTAGAGCGAGGAACCCACACAATATGGCGGAGGCGCTGTTATGCTCTCCAGCGCCTAATGGTGCATCTACGTATTCATGTCTACGGGTTGCTCCTCCAGTAGCAGATCTCTGCACATGAGATGGGGTTTTATGGTCATTTCCCCATTTGTGACATCACATATGAGGACTTTTTAAAACGGCTAGTTTTACTCACATAACCTCTTAAAATAAACACTGATAAAAAGTATAGATGTGCTTTTTCCACATTTGGAGTGTTTATAGAGGCAGTAGAGACCCACATGGCAGCCAAAATGCACGTAAAAGGAGAGTTTACATGATATGTCTCTTTCAGGAATCACTGGGATTGATAGGAAGGACAATTATCCGAAGGTCTGACCTTTACGGGTGCACAGGAATGTCGTATAGGTGAGCAGCAGTAGGGTGTAGTTGAGAAAACTCTGAAACATGGGCGTCTCCACCTTAGAGTCAGCCAGTAACTGACAGGTCACTGCTGTCCCGCAGATCAGCAGAGACAGGAGTTGACCCAAGGCGATGGTTTTCAGCAAACGGCTGGATCATCAGGAATATCAACAAACAGAGACAGTTTCAGAGTGTGCTGCAGGAGAACAGACGCGGTTTAAAGGTGAAGAAATACACAAGCTGACATTACTCACCGTGTGAAGATGTTCTTTAAGTTAAAGCTGCTGAATCCACAAGCAGTGCTCACCTTCCCACACAGCGTGTGCTCTGCGTGCTGGTCCATCCTCTGAGCTCGGTCTGGAGCACCGGCGTGTCTCAGTTAGCTTCATCAAACCAGTCAAGCAGCAATCTAAAATCCTCACAAGAATGTAGCTCGTGGCGATTTTCGCCTGTATTAAAACAGACACTTTAGTCTCCTTACTGGCACAAAATAACTAAAAGTAAGGTGATCAACATTTTCACTTTCATTTCAAATCAACAAGAAAACGTTAAGTCGTGATGTTAGCATAAAAACGCATCCCGAATTAGAGTTTACTTCTAGATGATTGTTACTATGTGTTTAACTAACATTTGACTCACAAAAACTATAAAAAAATACAAAACTTTTACTTTTAAAATTGAATTTGGTTTACCTGCTGTGCGCGTGGGGACAACAGACTCCTTACGTTTCCACCAACCAGCTACTATCAACGCATCATTAGCACATAAAACACAAATCCACCATCAAATGTTGCTTTTCTCTTCAGACATATTTTTGCTGAATAAAGAATGTTTTCGGAAGAAGATTTGGATCCATAACTCTTGTAAAATACTTCCTGATCCTCATGGACGCAGAATCAAACTAGTTCATGTGGCTGCAAAGGCCCGCCCTCCTGCGCGCTGATTGGTTAGAAAAAGCTAATCACGTGATCTAATGCTAAAACGTTGGGAGGCTGTGTCTCAATTCAGGGTCTGCATCCTCCTTCGGCCGAGTCGGCTGGGTCCTTCTGAGTACAGTTATTTTTATAAAAGAATACTTCTTGACAACAAAAGAGAAGAAAATACATTTTAAAATTATAATTGTAAAACGTACATTTTTATACTAAAACAAAGTTTACTTTTACTTTTTCTCCTATTTTCTATTTACTGTGTTTCTGAAACTAAAAAGCATGCTTGATCTCAATTCAAGCAAATCCAGCCCAAAAAGCTTTTGTAAACATTTAAACTGCTTTTATCTCTTTACTTTTTTTAATTCTAAGTCCACATGTCAACCTCCAGAAATCCTGTTATGAAATCCACACTGATTATCCAAACAGCTGTTGTTATTCTTATGTGAAAGTTGACATCTCACTTTCTCGTGTGGGAAAACCTTTAACCGAGAATTTCAGACAGTGAAAGAAATGATATCAAATATTAAATGAAACAATGACCTCCCTTGAGACTATACAAATCTTGTTTTCTTACCTCTGACCCTGGTGTGATATGAGGGGAAAAATGCTGGTGAAGGTTCTCAGTCATCCAGGTCATGGACCTGGTAATGGAAAGGGTTCAAATGAAGGTAACTGGACCAAAGAAGCCCAGTTATCTCCATTTGAACCCTTTGGATGTGGGGGGAAAACAAATGCGTATGAGAACAAATGCTCATTCATTGTAATCAACTGTGTTGAATGTTGAATAGAAAAATTCTACCTAACTTGAAAATTCCTGAAGACATTTTGAAAGGGGCCTGTCTGCTGGCACAAGATAGTGGCCATGTAGAGAAGCAAAATCATGCTATCGGGGTGATGTTGGGGTGAACACACCAAAATTATGATCATTGAGTATTATCAGAAAACAGGATTTATAATCTGGTTTTAAACTTTTGTGGATTATGAAATAAGTGTGAATTGTTGAGACTCTTATTGTGAAGGTTTGAAAAAATCTTTGTGGAAGCTGTCTGCTACAGAAGTAGATAGCTAAGCATACCACACTAATAAAATGTCTCAACATATATAGTTTATGCTGCAAAAACGCACCCAGTACCCTTGATTTAAATAATAACAAACACAACAAATTGTGTCTGATTCCGAAGCACAGTAAGGGTATGAATTCATGACATTTGTTATCAAAATATGTATATATTTTGTTTATTTTGTGCTCTTCAATTTGTTGCCAAGGACCAGAATGAAGCAGAAGGTTGCTTGTAGTTTATATAACAAACTAAAAAGAATCATAATAAATGCTAAGCTAACAATTAGCTGCTCTAGAGAGTATTTTCAATCACTTCAGACCAGAATATTTACTCAAACTGTCAAACCAATATTTATATAGGAACTTTAAGTAAATACTTAATTTATTCAACCACAACATTACGGCCAAATTTAGCAAAAGAAAACAGGAACAATAAGTATAATAATGTTGTACCAGTAGTTTTGAACACTGCAACCTTTAAATTTATTTTACTGTTCACAATGGTGAACAATTTATGTATAGAGCCTTCTGAGGTTCTAAACACCCCCCAAGGCCCTTTACAACACGAGGCTGAAGTTAGTTTCCGATTCCAACTTCCGATTCGGGAAACGGCTAAAGGGCCATTGCACCCAATTTTCTCTACGCTGACCATATTTAATCTGCTCTAGCTCAAAAACTACAACACCCACACTATTCAAACCTGTTCTAGATTGTTCTACTATAAAAGCAGATCACATAAAACACAGTCTGGGATTTGTGAAACCTTTCCCTGATTTGTGAAACTTCAACAAAGCCTGATTTATGTGTTTTTTTCTGCATCTGGCCAACGTTGGAACAGCTCTAGCTCAAAAACTACAACAGCCACACTGTTCAAACCTGTTCTATATTATTCTACTATAAAAGCAGATCAAATATAACACAGTGTGGGATTTGTGAAACCTTACCCTGATTTGTGAAACTTCAACACAGATTGTATTTTTTCGCTGACATGTAGCACAGTTACAGAACAGCCACTACTATGCAAAAATTATACTGAATGGGTCTACTAGGAAGAGGCAGCTGCAATTAGAAACAATCGTACAGTCCTAGCAAACATTCGAACGTTTAATGCCCGATGAAACAACGTCAAACCAACACGTTCCGTCATGGTTGAAAAATAGTTCCAATATGAAAGTTGAACCGGCGTCTTTTCTGTCCGTGACATCAACGTCTTTCAGCGTGTCTCATTTGGAGTGTTCCTAACTGGTTCTGAACTCGGATCCTCTGCGTTTCAGGTAGATACCAGCTGAGCTAACTCTTTGATATGGTATGCTCATGTCGCCCAGTGGAGTTATGCTATATGTTGAACTATACGTGACAAGTCGTCAAGATAACGTAACCTCAGATAACTGTAGGCATAGATGTATCTGAATGGATTCTTGTTCAGTGACATACTTTTTTACCAATTTAAGCCGTTCGACGGCGACAGCTTTTGGCAATAGACGTGACGTTGTGTCCGACCAATATTTGCTGGGATGCTTTCTGTTGAACTACACATGTAATTGTCAAATAACAATTTTACATGTAACTGTAGGCATGTAATAATATATCTGAATTAATTTTAGGGAAAAGTTTGGTTACAATTTATTTTTACCTATTTAAGCCGTCCTTCCAAGTCCATTTTTGATTGTGGACACCACGTTACCGTCAGACTAATATTTACTGGATGCTATACATGCAACTACTTGTCAAAATAACTATAAAACATGTAAATGTAAATGTTGACATGTAAAATATATATATGAATGGAATTGAAGGGAATTTTCTGTTATACGTTTTAACAAATTTTACACGTCTGAGCGCGACAATTTTTGGCCTACCACATTGCCTTCATGAGTTTGCTGCTTATTAGATGAGGAGTCATAAATGGTCAAATAAATAGCCTATTGTTACATTTATTTTGGCCAAAAGGCTTGCATGTAGCCCATTAAAAATTATATAAAAATATTTTGCATCCATGACGTCTTCCCCCACTGCCAATAATGCTTAATTTTATATAAAAGTGTTTCAGAAAAAAATCACTAATGCTCTATCTATCAAACTATGTCTTAAACGTTCAAATTTAACGTAAAAAATCTTCGCAAGTTGTAAAAATATAAACCGCTAATTATATGGAGCTTGGATTGGGACAATATTCAGTGTAACTGAATATTGAACTGAACTGATTTGAGGTTTGTACCTGTAGAATGAATGTGTGTTTTGAGAGTTTCGATTTCAAACTTTTACCTTGATTTTTTCAATTTGGAAGTCTGCTAGTTACAAAAAAGAAAGTTTCATGTTTCTGAATGAATGTTTGATGTTACAAAATGAGTAGTAAATGTACAAAATAAAAGTTTGATTTTACAAAATAAAAAATACATGTACAAAATACAATGTTCCTGTTACAAAACAAGAAATACAAGTACGAATTGAGAATTACAAGTTAGAAAACTAAAGTTACAAGTTACAAATCCAAATTTACATGTTATGAAACATGTTTGAAGTTACAAAACTTGGTACAAGTTACGCTGAATATTGTCCCAATCCTAGCTCCATACATTTCCATCTGGTGTTGCAACACGCATGCAAGTTCTCTTGTCTTCGTATACACGCAGGCGTGTATACGCAGGCGTGTCAAATCATGGTTCACCTCTAATTTCCTCAAACTCAACGGCAATAAAACTGAACTTCTTCTAGTTGGCACTAACTCCACCCTCTCAACATCTGACAGCTTTTCTTTAACTATTGACAGCGCCATAGTCTCCCCCTCCCCTCACGTCAAGAGTCTGGGTGTCATTCTTGACAGCTCACTTTCTTTTCAGGCTCACATTAATAACTTAATTCGGTCAGCATACTTCCATCTACGTTCCATTAACCGTCTCCGTCCCTCACTGACCCCTCACACTGCCGCCATTCTCGTCCACAGCCTCGTCACCTCCCGTATCGACTATTGCAATTCACTTCTTTATGGTCTCCCCAACAAACTCCTTCATAAACTGCAACTGGTCCAGAATTCAGCAGCCCGTATTATCACCAGAACCCCTTCCTTTCACCACATCACGCCGGTTCTCCAGCAGCTTCACTGGCTCCCAGTTAAATTCAGGTCCATCTTCAAAATTCTCCTCCATACCTTCAAAGCTATCCACAACCTCTCTCCTCCATATATCTCAGACCTTATAAGTATTCACACCCCATCCCGTTCACTCAGATCTTCTTCTTCCATCCATCTTGCGGTTCCTTCTGCCCGTCTCGCTACCATGGGGAGCAGAGCTTTCAGCCGCTCTGCTCCTCGACTCTGGAACTCACTTCCCCCAGACATCAGGAACATCGACAGTTTTACCCTTTTCCAATCAAAACTCAAAACACACATGTTTAAATCTGCCTACAACCTCTGATTTTATTGAACTGTTTCTCTCTTTGTTTTTTCTTGTTTGGGTTTTATTATTGTTTTATTGTATTTTATTACGTGTTTTCTGTAAAGTGACCTTGGGTGTCCTGAAAGGCGCTTTGAAATAAAATGTATTATTATTATTATTATTTTGTAAGGGCGTGTTTTGTAGGGGCCATAGGGGAGTGTTTTGTAGGGGGCGTAGTTTGTAGTGGCTGCGACTGCAGCTAGACCACTCCAGGCCCGGGAGAAAAAGACTACGCTGTTAGAACAATGGAGGAGCGGAGGAATTGTTTTGGAGGCATATTTTCTTGATAGTCGGACTATCCGTGCTCGTTGACATGTGCTACTATGGGGCATGCGCAGACCAATCTTTTAAGGCTTTGTTGAAGTTTCACAAATCAGGGAAAGGTCCCACAAATCCCACACTGTGTTTTATTTGATCTGCTATTATAGTAGAATAATGTAGAACAGGTTTGAATGGTGTAGGGGCTGTACTTCTTGAGCTACAGCTGTTACAGTGTTGGCCAGATGCCGAAAAAACGCATAAATCTGGCTTTGTTGAAGTTTCACAAATCACGTAAAGGTTTCACAAACCCCAAACAAGGTTGTATGCAATCTGCTATTATAGCAGAATAATCTAGAACAGGTTTTAACAGTGTGGCTGTTGTAGTTTTTGAGCTACAGCTGTTCCATGCTGAAAAAAACGCATAAATCTGGCTTTGTTGAAGTTTCACAAATTGGGGAAAGGTTTCACAAATCCCAAACAAGGTTGTATGCAATCTGCTATTATTGTAGAATAATGTAGAACAGGTTTGAATAGTGTAGGGGCTGTACATCTTGAGCTACAGCTGTGTTGGCCAGTTGCTGAAAAAACGCGTAAATCTGGCGTTGTTGAAATTTCACAAATCAGGAAAAGGTTTCACAAATCCCACACTGTGTTTTATTTGATCTGCTTTTATAGTAGAACAATATAGAACAGGTTTAAATAGCGTGGGCGTTGTTTTGAGCTAGAGCAGATTAAAGATGGTCAGAGTAGAGAAAAATTGGGTGTAATGGCCCTTTAGCCGTTTCTCGAATCGGAAGCTAACTTCAGCCCGTATATTTATATGCTTCAGCCTCGTCTTTACAACCCAATCGGTCATACACACACTCACTCATTAACACGCAGTTCAGGTTTCTTCTGTTTCAGTTTGTAGCCTCAGAAATTGCCGAAGGACTACAGATTCAACGTTTATTCAACACAGAATTTCACAGCTAGACCCCTTTTGTCATTCTCGCGAGAATTTTCGAGAGGATAAGTTGAGGGAACATGGCGGCGCCGTCTAATTTGCTAAAGGTAGGAGCTGCGATTCAATATTTGGTGTTCGCCGCTCACTTAAGCGCTTGTCATTCTGTATTATGTGACGCTAGCGTTTAAATCCGGCTTTAATGGACTGTTCACAGCACCTGTACCGTCAGTGTTGACTTTAGCTGGTGGTAGTTAAGTCACATCAGGCTAACATTTAGCTGCTTGTCAGAGATTTTTCACTGGCTAAAAGAGAAGCCTTACAACATAGATAAATGCGGATTTTCAAAAACAGCAGGAACAATGAAGCAGGTCACGGAAACAGATAATGACAGATGCTAAATAGCTCATGTAGCGCCGAAACATGACCACTGGCTTCGACAGCCTAATATCATATGTCATTCAGCAGCTCAGGGGTCTGCAGCCTTTTAAGACACATGGAGCAACAGACAAGCGAATATCTGCGCATTTTGTCTCGTAAAAAATCCATCTGGAAAACCATAACATCGTATCCAGTGACTACAATGTGTTCCAGAAATAAATCTTCAACCAGAGTTTCAAAGTATCCCCTAAAAAACTATTTCTTTACATTTCCCTCAAATAATCTTGATAAATATTTCTCATTTTAGTTAAATATCTCAAACTTTTGTTTTTTAATCATCAGTCATGCACAAAACCTGCAGATGTTGGCGCTACTACTACAAATTATAGCTTGTAATTTTATTTACTGTGATTCCAGCACATTGGCTGTTTATATAGTTGACGAACCCTCCACGCCATCAACCCTAGGTTTCTAAAGAGCTGAACTGCAGCCCAGTGGGCAGTTCCCACCACCAGAACCTTGGCTGCGTCACATGGCTTATCCCTTCCAGAAAAACTAAAATGGTGCTGAGAGGGTGGGGGCAGCTGACACCATCAAGGATAGTGTGATGGTGGCAGAGGAGTTAAGTGTCAACCCCTTAATTAAAAGGTTGCAGGTTTAAGTCCCGCTCATTCTGTTGCTGTTGTCATATCCTTGGGCAAAGCACATTGCCTGCTGGTGGTGCCAATGTTCAGCAGCCTTGCTTCTGTTACTGCACTCGAGGGTAGCTGTGGCTACATTGTAGCTCATCACCACCAGGGTGTGAACATGTGTGTGCATGGGTGAATGACTGATTATGTTGAAAAGTGCCTTGGAGGGGCTTAGGACTCTAGGTGCTATACCAAAGACAGGCCATTTGCCGTCAAACTCTGGACTGATGTAGCTATGAGCTAACCGAAGCTAACAGAGGTGCATTTAGCCAGAAAACTGTGGCTGAGCACCTCTGCTACCTTTGCCTTATAGGCTCACACTAAATGTGAGGCTGAGGCCCTCCCAAGAGCAAGCAGGATGAGCAACATGTCAGTTAAATAGACACGCCCCAGCCATAAGTATTCATAAATTCAATTTTATTACATCTAAGTGGATGAGTTGCAAACTAAATGTACATCCTTCAGAGTTGTCATGGTGGTAAACCTGACCTATTAAACCTAAAATGTTTTTTGAACCAGACTGTAAACTTGCTTATTTTTGCTGTGAAGTTGGCATGGCAGTCAATGGGAACTTGCTCCTTTCTGGAGCCAGCCCCTAGTGGATGAGGGGGGCACAGCAGTTTTTGTCACTTTGGCGTTGGTTTCACTTTTGGCAGGCAGAGTTTCCTCCTTGTTCCAGAAGTTTGTCAAAAGCAGTGGTGCCCCCAAAGGATGCCCAGAGGGTGCCATGGCCACCTTTGGAAAATTGTTGGCTGAGGACTCCAAAGCACTTTACACTACAGTGTTTCATTCATCCATTCATACACACATTGACATGCTGGTGGGGTGAGCTAGGATGTAGCCACAGCTGCCGTGGGGCTCACTGACGGAGGCGAGGCTGCCAAGCACTGGTGCCACCGGATCTCTCCGACCCCCTCCAGCAAGCAAGGTGGGTTAGGTGTCTTGCCCAAGGACAAAACAGGAGAATTCTCTGTCCGGAGCCGGGATCAAACCTGCAGCCTTCTGATTACTGGACAACCAACCCGCTCAACCTCCTGAGCTACTGCTGCCCCCGCAGCAGTAGGTGTAGGTCCAAGGTGTAGAAGGTAAAACGAAAGGATGAGAGCACTGTACCCTAAGAATTTTTTGGGGGGTGTTTTTGTTAAAATCAGAAATAGTTTTAAAATTCTTAAACAGTACAATTTTGAAACAATAACCCCAAAAAATGTTTGAACTTTTGTCTTTTTTTTGGTTCGTGTTTCTGAAATTTGAGGTAAATGTGTTAGACGCATGGGGCTATTGTTTTTTAGGAAAAAGAACAAAGGGGTAATACAATCTATGACTACAGGCTAAACTCCCCCAGAGTTACCAAAAGGACTCATTACGAGTGCCACCCCAAAATTTCCACTGGCCCCTCCAATGAAAGTTTTCTGGGGGCGCCACTGGTCAAAAGCTACACTTTGTTCTAAAAATCTCAGGTAATTCTTCTAATGAGTATTTCCTTAAAAGGCACCACATGTTGTCATTTTTCAAAGTTTGTAGTCATTTAAAAGTTGAAGGATCATCAGAAAATCTGGTATAAACTTGGAATTAATGCAATTGGAAACCAATATTAAGAAATGGCAGGTAGATAAAACATGACAATGTCCAGGGAGCGATGTAATGTAGTTCCCTTTACTTCTTTCACCAGAACAAAGGGTCTCTACAGTTTGAGGATAAATGGGACCTGATGCGCCCCATCGTGCTGAAGCTCCTACGGCAGGAGTCCGTCACCAAACAGCAGTGGTTCGACCTGTTCTCGTAAGTTTTCTCTCAATAATTCCTGCTGGGGCGCGTGCTTTAAATTTGCCGCCTGTTCTGTGTAATGCCTTACCTGCTGCGATCCACCAGTCAACATCTATTGCGGCCTTCTAGTCACGACTAAAAACACACTTTTGTGACCTGGCTTTTGCATCTTGACTTCCATCCATTGTCTGAACCCGCTTGTCCACGTAGGGTCATGGAGAGGCTGGTGCCTATCTCCAGCGGTCAATAGGCAGTCAGGCGGGGTACACCCTGGACAGAGAGCCAGTCCATCGCAGGGCAACACAGAGACACACAGGACGAACAATCACACACTCACACCTAAGGACAATTTAGACAGACCAATTAACCTAACAGTCATGTTTTTGGACCGTGGGAGGAAGCCGGAGAACCCGGAGAGAACCCACGCATGCACAGGGAGAACATGCTAACTCCATGCAGAAGACCCCAGGCCGGGAAGCGAACCCAGGACCTTCTTGCATCTTGACTTGTTTCTTGTTAAATTTCTGCAGGGTATCTGCAGGTCCTTAAAAAGTCGTAAAAAGTCTTAAATTTGCTTTTCCAAAATTAAGGCCTTGAAAATCCTTAAAAATGATAAATAATCCTTAAATACAGTTTCCAAAGGTCTTAAATTACCAAAGACCCAATAAACAAGATTCTTTTATTTCTATAACATTTTCATGAATTTCGAGTGTTCAGCATTTTTTGTGTATGATGGTTGGCGTATGCGGAACCGTACACATTCAGTTGGTTGTGAAAGGGGGCTATTTTTAGATGAGCACATTAGCTGGTTAAGCTAGTGGGAGCTTGCGCCGTGGGAAAGTGCAAGTTTAATGGTAACTGGATGGCTAATCCCACATTCGCGACGTGGTTAGCACCGGTTCCCGGCAATAGCTGGAAATTAAATATTAAATTTAATTTAAAAAAATTGCTTAAATTTGGACAAAGTGGCCTTAAAAAAGGTCTTAAAAAGTCTTAAATTTGGCTCCCTTAAACCTGCAGATACCCTGTATTACTTTGTTATATTTATTGGTATTTTTATTAGGTTTTATTCATTTTTTTAGAATAGCCATTTTGGCAGTTTTACTTGTTTTATCGTGTGCTTTGTTTATGATATGATGGATGTCTTAGTACTTGTGTCTGTACTATATGTAAGGCGCTTTGGTCGGCTCATGCTGTATTGAAACGCGCTTGACAACAAAAGTGGTATGGTGTGGTTTTGTTTCCCAGCTGAAAGGATTCATCATCGTCTTGTGTTGCTTCTACAGAGACGTCCACGCTGTTTGTCTGTGGGATGACAAGGGTCCAGCTAAGATCCATCAGGCTCTTAAAGAGGACATTTTAGACTTCATCAAACAAGCTCAAGCAGTAAGATGGCTTCTTTTTGTCCTTTTAAGTTCAACTCTGTCCTCCATACTGAAGAGTTCTGCTCATTTCAGACCTGAAAGAAGAAATCTGTGATTAAACTCTAGCTTTGGAATCTGGATGGATCTCATTTTTAATTATCGAGTCTTTTAAAGAGCAAGTCACCTCCAGACTAGGGTTGTCACGGTGTGAAAATGTAACCTCACGGTTATTGTGACCAAAATGATCCGGGTTTTTGGTATTATCGCGGTATTTTTCAAACGGTGTTGCATATGTTCAGAAAGCATTGATAGTCCTGTTCTACACAAACTGAAATAGTTTAACAGTGTTTATTAAACCTAAAATAACACAAAGCCTTAGCAAAAGTGCAACTTTTCACAAGTAAAGGAACAAATAGCTTCTTTTTCTGGAACATGTTACAGTAGTCAGTAGGGCTGCAACAACGAATCGATAAATTCGATGAAAATCGATTACTAAAAGCGTTGGCAACGAATTGCGTCATCGATTCGTTGTGTCGCACAACTCTTCCAAAAGCCCCCCCCCCCCCCCCTCCCGCCCGCCGTTGCGCGCAGACCAGAGCAAGTCAGATCAGCGCGAGGGAGAGCCGCAGATCAGCTCGATGGAGAGCCGGCAGACTTGCGCTGCTGCGAACCGGTTCCGCATTGTCGCGCAGCGATCCAGGCAGCTGCTTCCAGCGCACGGTCCATTCTCAAAGTGGCGCAACCAAAAAACTATAATTAGCACACGATCGTTCATGTCTGCACATGTTCTCTATTTTCTGTCTTATTTGTGCCTGAAGCTCGCTACTGCGGAGCTCATCACCTGTGCTGTGGTGATGTCACCTCACGCAGCATCGAAAACGCACTCTGCGCTTTTCGGTCAGGAGATCCCTTTGACCTGCTCAAAAGTAACTGATGAGGTGAAAAAGTAAGAATCCAGGCAACAGTTTTTCTGGAGAATTAAGAGGAGATGCAGGAAGATGAGAGACAGACAGGACAGAAAAATAGTTCAATAAAAACAAGAAAACAAAGTAAAATGTAGGTAGATTTATCTCCACTACACGTTTTTACCTATAAAAAACAATAAGTTATACACATGTCATATTTATACATCTGATACAGCTCAGATCACCTTCAAAACTCAGTCACACACCCAGGGCCGTTTCAAGACATTTTGGGGGCCAAGGCAAAATGCCCCCCCCACCCACCCCCCCCATAACTGGGCTCCCCAGAAGCCTCTGTGTAATTCATACCCTCTCCAGTAGTGTTAGTTATATGGTGTTTATAAAAGCCCCTCAGACATTACTGACATGCTCTAATATTATCAGATGAAAAACTAAATTATCAGACATGCTGTCTCATCTGCTTCTTTTATAAACTTGCAAAAAGTAACAAAACCATTTGAAAGCCACTATTTGTGGATTCTCTGAAAGTTTCCATGGAGTGTGTGACAACTTATTTTTTCATTGATCCTATCGTCTAATCTCACAGCTGAAACAAGCATCCTTAATAATCTGTGCACAGGAAGCTTACCGATGCTGTAGTAAAACAAAAGGTATAATAATTTATTATTAATAAAACCTTGTTGCAGCACTAAAGCAGAAAAATTAGATTTTGCATTAAATATGCAAAATATTTACATATGAATTGTTTTAGAGCCCTTTAATTGGCAGAATCTGATATTAATTTAGTTCTTACAAAAAATGGGTCCCAACATGGTTTGTGTGGCGTTGCCATAGTGTGACGTCATAGGCACAGATCCCCTGTCCTCTTGTTTGGAAATGGAAATATGATCACCCTACATTAAACAAACTGTCCACCCGGGCTTTTGCGCTGCACAGAGACGCTTCGCTGCCTACGACTGAACGTCAGTTGAGAGTCAGTCTCATGCAGACTGACCAATGAAGAGAGGGCCTCAAGTTAAGACCCTCTCCTCATTGGTCAGTCCACACGAGGTGGGTCAAAGGTTACTCTGGGCGGGTTACGTGATGTCAGGCATTCAAGTATTGAGTATATTTACTGCATATTACAGTAAAATATTCTGTATGTGACCATATTATGGTGATCCTTGGGTCGTGATGATGGAGCCCTTGAATATTGTTGCCCAGGGTACAACAAAGTGTTAATCTGGCCCTGGTTCCGCCGTCACATTCCCGCAGAAACTGGTTGATCACACCGGGGCCAGACTAGCATGTGGTTTTACAACCACAATGTCCTCAGAAGCAAAAACGCTTTTAAAAGGGAGGGAGGAGTCCTAACTGTTGCTGCAGGCGTGTTGTGTGAGAGTGCAGTTATATACTGGTTAATATATTTTTGGGTTCAGTTGCTTTCATGTGGCCTAATGTGAGTCTATTTGGGATCATTGGAATGATCAGCAGCATTTCTTGATGTGACTTTATGGCAGTTGCCCAGGGCATCATCGCAAGGAGGATGGCATTCATTTACTTTTGTTTTATTTGGTATTTTTTCAGTCATTTTTGGAAATAGTGATCAATTTTGATTAATTCACAGCCTATGTTTAATTACATTTAAAATAAATGTCAACAGATGAGATCAAACAAAACAGATGAGAATTGCCCTTAAGCTGTTTAACTTGGACCAAGCATTTTAGGTCACAGATAGATGTAGCTTAGGGTCTCTGTCTATACACCTTATAAGACAATTTAGGTGATGGCATGTTGTTTTTCTGCTATTGAACTGTTTTCTAATAATGTTGTGTTAAATAAAGTGAAGGAAGGAGAGAAATAACGTTTCCCTAGCAGTTTTTAAAAATTTCCCCATGTAATCCGATTAATCGATTAATCGTGTCGAGACCCCATCCGATTAATCGATTATCCAAATAATCGTTAGTTGCAGCCCTAGTAGTCAGTGCAGGTTTAAATGATACAAATCCAAACATTCAAAACATAAACAATATGTAAACAAATCAAAGAAACACCACTTGTTTTCTCATATACTTGTTTTCTTCATTATCAAAATGAAAATCTAAAACTCCAGTCCACACTTGACTTGAGCGCTGTACAAGTCAACCTTAAAAAATATGTATTTAAAATAAATAGCCACTTTAAACAAATGACTAAAATAACTACTACACTATGTAATCAAATCCACATGTTCAAGTATAAATGGCATTGAATAAGTAAACAAATCAATGACAAGGAACTAATTGTATATTTCTCTTCATCATCAACAAATAAGATGCTTCATCCAGCAACCAGCATCATGACTGCATGCATGACCATTTACAACATGTCAGCATATTAACCTTGTCTGGTTTAAGATGTGATCTAAGAGAGGAAAGAAGGTTCCCGCTGGCACTGAATATTCTCTCTGATGGAACACTAGTCGCTGGGATACACAAAAGCTTTTTTGCCAGATGAGGCAGCTCTGATGCATGGCCCCTCCACCACACCAGTGGATCATCATCAGCCCCTCCACCACACCAGTGGATCATCATCAGCTGGAATGGATGGCAGAGATATGTAGACCTTGACTTCCTCCTTCACTTTATCTTCTGGGGTGGCTGGACCTGAACCCTCTTCAGATCGCTGCTGCCTTGATGAGGTCATCTTTTTTAGTAACCCAGCAAGGCCTTCCCTCCTGATGCTGCTGTAGAGTTACTGCTGGTGCTTTGTGGTTCCTGCCTGACTTGTACAGGGGTCAGCTTCAAGGCCTCCTGAACACAGCGGTCAACTACATCATCCACAGCGGCATCTAAGAAGTTATTCTTGAACCTGGGGTCAATGAAACAAGCCATCTGCATCTCTGTGTACCGGTTGTTCAGGTCTTCTCTCATTGCCTGTTTCATCTGCTTGGTCAGGGCTGGTTCCTCTTCATTTTCCTCCAGGACATCACCAGTGATGTGGTCAAGGACTAGCTTAATGGCTGATAAAGTCACTCGTGTTTCTGAGCAAAGTGAATCTGTAAACTTGCTCAGTGGTTCGAGGAGCTGGCAGACTTGCTCCATGACAATTATGTCAGTGTCCTTGGGCATCAGATGCAAAGCTCCTCTTTCTGCAGCCAGTGTAGCACAGACTGCCTGCTGCTGGCTGATAAACCGCTCCAGCATCTTGTATGTCCATCCCCATCGGGTCACAACGTCATGGATGAGAGCCAGCGGTGGCAAGGTGAGGGCAGCTTGCTTTTCTCTCAGTCCTCTCTTTCTCTTCCAGCTCCGTGAGAAGCCTTGGACATGATGCCGACAGGTCCTTACCGCTCTTTCAACTCTCTGTATTTTCAGAGCCTTTGAGATGGCCAGGTTCAAACTGTGACCAAAGCATCCAAGCCACACATCTGGAAACTCTTCAAAGGCCTTGGTCATGTTGGTTGCATTATCTGTGGTTATGGAGACCAGATCTGTCTTGTTTATCTCCCACTCCTCCAACATATTTTCAAAAAACTCTGCAATATTTTGAGCAGAGAGAACTTCTGGAAAAAACTGTGATTCCAGTTGCCAGTCTGGGGTGAGATAAGGAACTGTAAAGCTGATGTATGGTAGACCACCCCCTCTTTCACTGGTCCAGAAGTCAGTAGTGGCAGCAAAGAATTCACCCTGAGCCAAACTCTTCTTAACACCAGCTTTGACTGCGTTGGACATTTTTGGGATTTCAGTCTTAGAAGAATAATTGCGTGTAGGCACTTTGTAATGAGGTACGGCAACCTTCATCATCCTCAGAAAGCCAGGTCTCTCGACTATCCGGAAAGGCATCATGTCTTTTGCTATTAAATAGGCGATGGCTGCAGTCAGTTCTTGAGCCTTTTGGGATGCAGGCACATAATCGGTCTGTTTTTGGAATGCTTGCTCAAGTGTCTGTGTCACTGATGATCCAGTAGCGGTACTCCGTTGCCTCGCTGTCTGTCCCACTGCTCCTCTCTGTAAACAAGAATAAAATATATTAAAAAAAAATATCCATGTCATTGTTTTGAATCATTATCATTATTCAACTATTCATATCAATGTACAGTGGGGCAAAAAAGTATTTAGTCAGCCACCGATTGTGCAAG